TTCCTGCACATATGGTTCAATTTCAACACCATTGCCACTACATGGAAGCGAAAACAAATGGTGATTTTCATGTGTTTTTGTGTTCGGACTTTTCAACCATTTTCAACATTACGTTGAAATGTTGAAGTTTCGGAAGTGCTTACCGCCGCTCACTTGTACATACTTACATGAATGTTTGCTATTGGTGGTAGCTTCAGGAGCTTCAAGGAAATCCATGCCTACACACACAAAGTCAAATTGCAAACACCATTATGTGGAATCCAAAAAGCATTGCGTGGAAGCCAATTTAAGTACCAATAGCTTCTAGGCTAATAGCACTTACTTACGTTTAAGTAAAAATAACACGGTACAATGCAGCAATATGAATATATTTTGAAAACTTGAAATATAATAGAATATTAATATATATCACAACCTGTTTAAAACCTGATGGAAAGCAACTTGCTTCATATGATTCATATGGCTCAACCAGGTTCACATCAGTAAGACAGTATGCATATATATACTATTGCCATTTGTTTCACTAACTTCTGGACCATGAATTGATGTAGAGGCATTGCAGTTTCCAAAGTATTACGTGGAAGCTAAAAGGTATTACGTGGAAGCTAAATTCTTATCGGGGCTAGCTTTGGGAGCTTCCACGTAATCCATTTCTACACATATGGCCAAAATTCAAGACTATTACGTGGAATCTAAAAAGTATTACGTGGAAGCTAATTTGTTATCATTATAACTATAATATACTTATCCGGGCTAGCTTCGGGAGCTTCCACGTAATCAATTCCTACACATATGGTGAAATGTCAACACTATTACGTGGAAGCTAAAAAGTATTACGTGGAAGCTAATTTAAGTGTCAATATTGATCATAATAATAACTTAATGAGGTAATCGCTAACCATTTCAATATAAGTATGATACTAAAAACATAGGTCTAACACTAATACAATAACTCAAAGCTGCATAAGACCTTATGGAAAGTAATCTACTTCATATATATTATATATAGCTCAACTATGTAGACACGAGTATGCATACACTATTGCCATTTGTTTCACTAACTTCCGGACCATGAATTGATGTAAAAACACTACAGTTTCCAAAGTATTACGTGGAAGCTAAAAGGTATTACGTGGAAGCTAAATTCTTATCGGGGCTAGCTTCGGGAGCTTCCACGTAATCCATTCCTACACATATGGCCAAAATTCAAGACTATTACGTGGAAGCTAAAAAGTATTACGTGGAAGCTAATTTAAGGCCCAAGAACACTCATAATGAAATGAAAAACCTTTTAATTATAAATCTTTTGTGCAATATAAAACTAATAACATAAACCAAATGCTGTACTAAAACTTGCTTAACATTTGACGGAAAGCAATTTACTTCATATAGCTCAACTATGTAGACACGAGTATGCATACACTATTGCCATTTGTTTCACTAACTTCTGGACCATGAATTGATGTAGAGACATTACAGTTTCCAAAGTATTACGTGGAAGCTAAAAGGTATTACGTGGAAGCTAAATTCTTTTCGGGGCTAGCTTCGGGAGCTTCCACGTAATCCATTCCTACACATATGGTGAAATTTCAACACTATTACGTGGAAGCTAAAAAGTATTACGTGGAAGCTAATTTAAGTGTCAATATTGATCAGAATCATAATACTAACTTAATGAGATAATCTGATAATCATTTCAATATAAATATGATACTATAAACATAGGTCTAACACTAATACAATAACTCAAAGCTGCTTAAGACCTTATGGAAAGTAATTCGCTTCATATAGCTCAACTATGTTGACACGAGTATGCATATACTATTGCCATTTGTCATTTGTTTCACTAACTTCTGGACCATGAATTGATGTAGAGACAGTTTCCAAATGATTGAAGAACAGCAGCGCCAGCAGTGTTGTTGAATGATTGGACCTGTCATGTTTGGTATTGGCAGAAGATTCAAAAACAGACAAGCGTACTGAAAATTATTGGTTGGTTTTTGATCAGGAATCAGGGGCCACTCACTGGCACTAGCGTGAGTTTTGCTTACCTACAAGCACTTCATGTTCACTCACCTGCGGTGGTGCCCAGGACATGGCTATGATTGGGATCCCGTGCCCCCTTTTCTCAAGACTCAACGAGAAGACGCGGAAGAGGGGGTGGAATCCATTCAGGGAGCCACTTGTCTCAGTCTCCGGCTGCCATGGTTCTTATCCGTTGGATTGGGCAGTAGGGTCCGGTATTTTAACCTGGTGCAGGCACAGGCACGGTATGTGCCATGTTATGCGATGTGAGATGTGATTTGTGGCACGGCATGTGACATGTGTGATAAATATACATGTAGATAAGTAGTCCGTTTGTGGGTTCCTGTGTTTGCTATTCTTTAGTTTTGTTTACTATCCAGGACTATCCAAAATTCTTTCCACATTGTATTTGATGTTCGCAAGTTTTCACACAGTGGCAGTGATGATTTCTGAATATGTTTTGCAGAGTGTTGTGTGCACTTTCATGTTCTTATCATGGGTTGGTCATGGTCAGCAGGGGTGAATTCCCCGGAGTCAGCCCAAGTTTGTTGTGATGGTTCCACATTGAACTGGTTCTTGATGTTTGTTTTGGGCAAGAGATTGACAAGGGTTTCTTGATTCCAGGCTTTGTTTGCCCAGCAGATGAGCAAAGATCTGGTCACATGATACGGCCAGTCTCAGAGGGATCTCAAACGCATCTCAAACATGAAGGCGGATGTTTCGAGACGTGTTTGGAACTACTTACTTGGTTCTATGGTTTCATGTGTTTCAGTGATGCACTATGATATGACAACTGCTAACTGTTCCATGTGTCGAGTAGTGATGATGGCATCGCATGTCATCCACTGATTGGACGAAGCTTTGAATAAAACTAGCACCATGCAGGCGCAGACCATGCAGTGTTACTGTCAGTCTAGCAAATGATCATGTCAGTTGAGAAGAAAGCTGACAGTTGTCTACTCTTAAAGCTAAGCATTTCTGCTCAACCACCCAGCTCGCCGTCAGTTTCCAGAATGTCTGTTCCATCATCAAACTCTATAGGATAATTTTGCCCAATAGTGACGCTATAGCGTTATAGCGAAAACTAGAGCTGTTGCAGTCACGTTGGGCAGTTGTTCAGGATTTGACACTGAGGCCCACCTCGAGGGTGGTGTTTGACTCTCTGAGAAAATTGAGAGTTCGCAACCCCAAGACGGTGATCATCGAAGAGGCCGGGCATGCCAAAACGGTGTTCAGCAAGTTGTCGTGTCCACCATCGTTCCGCCCCACTTAACAACCTGACACGCTGATCCCTTTCCTCCTAGCCAGCCCTTTCCCATCTCATTCTGGTGTTAATTCAGAGCCAGCAGGTCGAGAGCCTTCTTCGCCCCTTTGCTCAACCGGTGAAAGTTGGCGGCCGTGAGTATCAGGTCGGGCAGGGGTCCGGCGCGGTGCAAGTTTGTTCATGACAATACTTTGGCTGCATTTTGTTTAGTCCTCCTATAGGTGGGCTCGGGTGATTGAAATGACATTTTATGTCCGTAAACCAAGGGCTGGCCCTGAGAGCATAAGTTAATGAAGCTCAATCTCCAGGACAGTTGCTTGTGTGATTGTGGTCCAGACCAAGTCATAATGTGACACCTTGGGTTTCAAGGGCGCTTTTTCAAAAATACAGTAACTGTAGTATGTATGTTTTTTGGATGATGGTATTATTGATGTTATTGTACAGTTCTTGTGTTCTCAAGTTATATGTTAACTTAAATCTGACATCTTCGACAAAATGAGCCTATTATCAAACCATATCACACCCTCATCCTTGTAAAGTAGACTGACTTGTAACTTGGGATTTGGATTGTACATAGTTGATGTCCATCTATGACTCGTTCACGCATTCAACTGTATTCTACAGTTCAAGCAGGGTTGGCTCATGTCTCACTCTACTGTCAATGGTGCCATCAGTGCTTTGGTATGTTATTAGTTTTTGATGTTATTTGAGTTCTTGGGTTCCAGGGCTCACTTGGATGACCTCTGAGACTTTTTGAAACTAATTAGTGATCCAACCCGGGCGCAGCTGCTTCGCAACCTAGAACAGCTTTGGCTCTAGGTAAGTTAGATAACCAAAAAGGTATCGGTACTAGTAGATGATTCCTGGATGCTGTTTTCAACATATGTTGGGTTGAAGGCTCACTTGATATCGTCCCAAATGGCAGAGGCATTGAGAAACACTGACAATAACTTTCATATAATCCATGCGCCGGTCAAGGCCTAAAGCATGTTGGTCAGGGTAAGGATATCTCTTTTGCTCTGGACAGTCCTGTCCAATGCTTGGGCCATGTCTTTGGTACAGCTGGCTCGCTCAACGAAGTCCTCATCCGATTCTGCCAGTGACTCTTCAGCCGATTCTACCAGTGACTCTTCAACTGATTCTGACGGTGAGTCTTCAAGTGATTCCAAGAGCTCCAGGGCAACGGATGCCGGTGGATCATGTCCAGACGACTGCGAAGCATTGAGACAGGAAGTCAAGACATTCCGAAGGAGACATCAAACGCAGAAAGCAAGAGATGCCTTGAGGGAGAAGAGACTGCGCGCGAAGCTCACGCAGGACAAGCTCCCGCGTAATGAGCATCCAGCAGCAGAATATCAGGCAGATGTGTTTGTGGACTCAGTTCGAGCTCTGCAAGGCCGGGGCTCCAAAGCCCGTTAGAAGGCGAAGGTTGCGACTGTTGTGGTCATGGTTCACGACCTTGACTTCTGCCATTGCTTCTCTTCTCCGTGACAGGGAAAAGGACCTTCGTCATGTGCTCAACATTTGTGTGATCGATGACACCAACATGACTTTGGCACCCAGCAGGGATGGTGAGTTTGACAAGCACGGATGCCCCAGTAATGTTGTCAGTGTTATGAACAACATCCAGACTCTGGTCCTTCGATTTTCTGGCGAAGGCGATTGTGAGCAGCCTCCAGATTCATACAGAACATTTTTGGTGCACACGCCGATGTGTCCTTTGGACAGAGCCAACGCCTCCGGGATTGCCACAGAGTTCGTGGCGTGGGTTATGTTTTGGCTTGGTGCTGTTGGGCAGCATTGGCGCCGGTTCAATGAACGCTTGGAGCTGCCATCCAGTGTGCCAATCCAATGCTTGGTTATCTCTTGGGACTCCCTAAAAACGAACACTGCCGTCATGAAGGGATTGAGGCAATGTGTGTATGCACGCAGCCTTGTAGATTCTTCAAAGCATGGAGCTGAGCAAGTCTTCCCCCTGTTGTCGAACAGGTGCGCGATCCATCAGCTGGCTCTGATCAGGAAGCATTCTCTGTTTTTCTTTGGCGGGTTTTGGAGTACAATCGTCAGATTGTGCCACCTCTATGAGATCCGATCCTTCAGGAGACATGTCAAAAAAGCAATCCTGCAAGTCGTGCTGCGAGATTTCGAACACATCAGAGTGCATCAGTTGCCTGCTGATTTTGAAGGATGGCAGCGCGAAAAAGCTTCTGCCCTTTTCCAGAGCATGGATCCAAAGTCAAACAGGTACCACTTGCATCAGGCTTTATCCGTTGTGGATAACTCTGAGACGTCATCGACGAAGTTCATTCATTGGTGCACGGGCAGCAGTTGTTTTTGTGAAGGCAAGCCAAGGAAGGCTTTGGTGAGGATGGTTCAACTGTATCAACGCCTCTTTGGAAATGGGTTTGCTGTCCCACTCACTTATCGCTGGAAGCATTGTGACGAAGCAATGGCTTTTTGCAGAGATACTTTTCAGCATCGATCTTGCTGTGCTTATTCGGTAGCTTATTTAGTGGCAGGGGGAACCAATGGGGAATCATTTACGATGTTTTGATAGTAGAAATATTTAAGTTTTGAATCTTTTTGCAATTTGTAATCTGATCTGATGAGATGAGATATGATGTGATATCTCTGTCACTTAGTTGTATTTGAGTCATATGAATATGAGAATGAACATGTAATACAGTAATAATATGTATAATCATATATCATATAACTGTATATAAATGATATGTTTGCAGACTGGACTGTACTCATTTTGTTGCACAGTACCGCGTTACTTCTGCTTAGATATGCAGACGCAATATGTATATATCCAAGTTTAAGTTGTATAATTTTTACATCATGCAATAATCTATGAATATACAGACTGATCGAAGGAAGTTTAGAAGTCAAACTTCCGACAATATGGACAGATGAAAAGCAGAGAAGGGCAGAGGCAGAGAGAAGAGAAAGATGAGAAGAGAGAAGATCAGAAGAGAAAGAGTCAGCAGAAAGAAGATGCAGATGCGCGAAAAGGTAGGAAAGTCGCAATTTACTGTGTTTTTCCAATGATTTGTGGCTCCGGAGGGTCCAAAAGTAGGCTCGCTAAAGCGGCGGGTGCGGAGGCAGCTGGCCAGATGAGAGATGAAAAAGTGCACGCCGTTGTGGCGCGAAGCACATTTCCAAGTCAAAATGTACAAAACACACCAGGTCCTCAGGTCCGGACCACTTTTTGGAGTTGCGATGTCGAAAAAGTGCGCGCCGTTGTGGCGCAAAGCACATTTCGAAGTCAAAATGTGAAAAACACTAAGGGTTCAGACCACTTTTGGAGGCTCAGATGTGGACTTTCGAAAAAGTGCACGCGGTTGTGGCACGAAGCACATTTCGAAGTCAAAATGTTGAAAACACTAGGGGTTCGGACCACTTTTGGAGGCTCAGATGTCGCGTTTTGAAAAAGTGCACGCCGTTGTGGCGCGAAGCATATTTGGAAGTTAAAATGTTCAAAACACTAGGGTTTCGGACCACTTTTGGCGGTTCAGATGTTGCTTCGCTTCACTCGACTGCACTACATTACATTACACTACGCTGCACTACAATACATTACACTACATTACATTACACTACATTTCACAACACTACAGGTTAGAACTACAACAATATACAACTACAGTCCATTACACTCCACTACACTAAATTACACTACACTACATTACACTACACTACACTCCACTACTACCCTACATTACACTACACTACACTCCACTACGCTACACTACACTACATGACACTACACTACACTACACTCCACTACACACCACTACACTACAACTACAACTACACAACTACACTCCACTACACTCCACTACACTCCACTACACTCCACTACACTACAACTACACAACTGCACTCGACTACACTCCACTACACTCCAGTACACTACAACTACAACTACAACTACACAACTACACTCCACTACACTACATTACACTACACTACACTCCACTACACAACAAATACAACTACACCTACACAACTACACTCCACTACACTCCTTTACACTAAATTAGACTACACTACACTGCCTTACACTACACTGCACTCCACTACATTACACTACGCTACACTCCACAACACTACCACTAAAACTACATAACTACACTCCACTACACTAAATAACACTTTACTACACTACATTACACTACACTAGACGCCACTACACTACACTACATTACACTACACTAGACTCCACTACACTATACTACATTACACTACACTACACTACCTTCCACTACACTTCACGACATTACTCTACACTACACTCCACTACACTACCTACAACTACAGCTACACTCCACTACACTCCACTACATTACACTACATTACACTACACTACATTACACTGAATGACACTGCACCAAAGATAGACAGGTAGACAGCTAGACAGATAGATAGATAGATAGATAGATGGATAGATAGATAGATAGATAGACAGATAGACAGGTAGACAAGAGTGAGAGAGATCAATCGCCTTTCAGTCCAGCAGTGGCTTCGCTCTGCCATCCCTGATTCACAACAACCAATCTCTCCTATAGGTTTCCTATTTTTGAAACTTCCACCACCGCCTTGTGCGGTACTACTGGTAGACTATTCTACAGACCATATGATAGAGTGATTTTGTATACAGTGTTTGATCAACAGATACCTTGCGCTAAATCATATGTCGATCACCTACTGTATGTCAGCCGTCAAATGAGTGATGTTAGATAATAAGTGCAGTATTGATGTGTTGATGTTGGAGCCTCAGTACACCCAACATCAGACGAGTGGTGTGGTGTGGACTGTGACTACATATGATTGACTGATATTGGTTTGAGATGCTTTGGCTTACTATGACAGGATCTTTCACCGTTTTCCAGGTCCACCATCATGGCCCAAGGTTTGGTCTAGTCTGAGCATTGGATTCCAAATCGTATGGGAATTTGCGACTTACATCGCATTTGCATAATTCTCCATACCTCTGCTTTTCGGCATTTTTAAACAGCACCTTAAATCTACATGTATGTAACATGTATGTATAATATATTTGGTTCAGATCATGTGACAAGGTAAGACTTGTGCGGTTTTCCAGGGGAGTTGGCAAGGGATGCCAGGTTTTTGAAGGGTCGCATCATGTGACACCAAAGCACTTTGCTTTTTATGTTTGGTCAGGTCAGTTTGGCTTTTGTATTTGGGAACACTTCTTCGTTTGGCCATAATACCTCCACATGAAATTCTAGGTTGCTCATGTCACTCCTGTGATTCAGCGCAAGTGATAGGTAACTTACTTAACCGTTTTTGAGCTGTTTTGAGTCTGTAACCATTTCACCATCTTAGTCAACTTGCACTAGTGAACCGAGCACCGTGACACAAGCCCCTCTGATTTTTCATGATTTTTCCCCAAAAGACATTTTGTGTACACAACAAACATGTTGCCATATGTTGCACTTTGTTTTTCGAACTTTTTTCCCACTTCTTGTTGCTGGCTGCCGCTGCCGCTGCTATTTTCTGAAGATTTTCTCAAAAAGGACAAACCTTTTACAACGACATAGAGTTTCTTTTGTATCAGATCAGATCAGTCATATTAGGAAACTGTGACACATTACCTCTTCCTGCAAGTGTTTCCAGTTTATTGCAATCAATCAAGGCTTGACCTGCTTATTTGCTCAATCTTGTTTAGAATTGCGCCGAGGAGGGAACCTTTTTGCACAAGATCTTGTCCCGGGTGTTCGAAGCATTGTCTGAGACCAGTGGTGATGGCCAGATTGCCAACCAGATGGAGTCCTTGCTGGCCGAGATTGACATGGGTCAGGGGGAAGGAGATGTCTTTGGCCCTGATGACAAGGATTGGACGCAGTTGAGCATCTTGCCAAAGATGCCGGAGTCAGTGGGGCTAAGTCCGGCAGAGCTGAATCGAAAGAGGAAGCAGTTATGTTTTGCTGCCATCCTTGAGGAATCCTTTATTCCACGCACGACCCTGTTGCAAAGCAGGATCGAAACACTTTCGGCTGGCATGAACATGTTGTTCAAAAGGACTGCTGACATCAGCAAGCTCCATCACTTGGTCCATGTGATGCATAGCCCGGAAGAGAACTCCGATCTTGCTGCGAGGCGCCAATTTGGGACATGTTGCACCAACATGCTGGAGACGCGGGATGCCGTGGTGAGTTGGTGTTAGTCTGAGGTTTAAAACATATCATTTCGTTAACATTATATATATATATTTAGTATTTAATTTATTTTTTTAATTTATAACCAATTTATATTTTAACTTCTCAACTTGACACGTAACTTCACATGACGGTCATTGTACAAGTAAGACAAATGTAAGACAATATGATAATGACAAGTGATAATGCATGATATAATGATATTTGGTATATAATTTTATTATATTATATGTAACCCACGAACTCTTGCATATTGCATACAGTATATGCATATGCATGTTTGCACATTTTTCTTTAACTTTTGCTTATTTCAAATTGTTCAGTTCTATTTGATGCTGGATTTGCATGGTCGAGCTGGCTTTGTATGATCACAGATCATGTGAAACTGTAACTAGGCCCAGCATGACGCTTTAAATTCAGGAAGTGCAATATCACCATGCAACGGAACGAACATATATTTGAAAGTAGGTGATAGGCGAGAATAAGCAAGCGCAGGTCATCATCTTTCTTCCGGGAGTACATGCGCGGAGGCTTTGGGATGAAGCTGATGGGCATGCAGATACAATTCTTGGAAGATTTTCCTCGATTGGGCATCGGGCCACTGGCGAAGGATGCTTTCCAAATGTGCTTGCTTGAGATGGGAGACTGTTGGAAACGTTTTGTCCACGACTTGGACAGGTATCCCTTCAAGACTTTTTGCTTGCTGGACTGCAGCACTTCTGAAGAGGTCTTGGGGCGTTGCGCTATGATTCGAGCACAGATGGAAGCTTGCAGCAACTGCATCGATGTGGAGTTCACTGCCCAGATCCTTGCATTCCTTGACAGCCGCCAAGGCAACGAAGAGCTTCTATCTAGAGCAAGGATCGTGCAAGAGTTCTTGATGGATATTGCGATCTTCGTGCCAATCAGCAGTGATCAGGTAGAATGCTGTCACGGATTCCACCAAACTTTGACCAATCGTTTCCGCGGGCAAAAACCGACAGCCCAGACCGCTCAAGAAGTTGGGCTTTGGGCCAGCATCACTTCGACGTACAAACAATTTTGGAAGTTCCTGTGGGGCAAGAGTGGCGATGCAAAGACAAGAAATCGCATCAAACGTTTTGGAGTCAAAGGCGTCAACCAGTATTCACAAACTGAAGGGCGTGTTCAGGCTAGTGCCAACAGACCTTGCAAATTCAATTTCCGAGACCTGGGCGCCCTTTGTGATCAAGAGCCGGTGGCCAAGACTGCGAAAGTGCCCAAGAAGATCTGTGGCCCCTTGGCAAAGTCATGTTTTTCGACAGCCAGCCCAATAGTCGGGTTTTTATCTTGGATGGCAGCTGACATCATTTTGTGTAGTAATTATGCTGTGCTGTATGATGCGGTATTTTGTGATTTGATTCAATCATAATTGCGGAAAGACTTCTGCACGACTTTCACTTATTTATCAATGCTTGATTGGTGTTTGATCAGGACCATGGCTTAGCCAATGATAGTGATGTGATCAGGAATGTTACCTGATCATTCCAGATGAAGATGTTTAAGCATCTTACCGTACGCGTGACCAAATGATGAATAGTGACCGGTGAGCTGAGCAACACCATAGTATATAGCATACAGCATACATATACATGCAGTAATATTCAGTACATGACATAATATAATTTCAGTAATATAGTAGTTGTCAGATTTCCTTTTTATCGGACCCGAAACCTCACCACCTTCTGATCAGCATTACCGTGATGTGGCCCACAGAGCGTAGAAGCAGATAGCTAGTAGCAGATGGGATGCCATTTTCTTCCGGTACAGCAGTCAGAGAGTTGACAAGGACATTGACTTTGTATGAAATGGACATGGAATGAATCCTGGGGTTTCCCGGGCACTGAGCCCAAATGGTTCCTTTCGAAAAGAACCCACATTTTTGTGGGGCAACTTGAGCTAAAAGTAAGAACTTTGAACAATAACTTGGCACCTCGGCAATGGGGCTCCTCCAGTGTTTTCGGGTTCATGACTCATGGGAGGAACATATCAAGCGTAGAGGTTTCTCACTGGCAAGTTTATATGTCCTGCCCCGCTCAAATATATTCACAGCAAGGGTATCCAGCAAACCAAACTGAAAGTTCATTCCATCCTGATTCATGAATGGTAACTTCAATCTCAATTGAAAAACTCATGGACCCGCAACTCTGCCTTTGAACTTTGAACGTGGTTAAACCTCGACCCCTAGATTGCCTGGATTTAGATATGGTCAAAGCGTGTTCTTTTGCAGTGTTTCGTTTGTTACTGCTCCTTTGCAATCATGTTAGGTTGGAACATATTCCAGCGCAAGTGGTTCGAAGCAAGGCAGCTCCAGCCAGACGAGTGGAAAAAGGAAATCAAGTCCTGTGCCCGTGCCTGGAGAGATCTCAGTGGTGACAATCGTGAACCCTTTGAAGCTGAGGCGGCTCATGAGCAGAGCTTGCGAGATGAGGCTAGATTCGAGAGATTTCCCGTCAAGGCAGAGTCGAAAGCAGAGACTGATGATGCGGTTCCTCTGCCAGCCAGTGCCAGTCTGCGGAAGAATGCATTGAGCCACCTTTCCGAGTCAAGGACCATTCACAGCTACAAGCATTTTCAAGACGAAACTGCAAATTTGTTCTCTCGGTGGAATGGCGGCGTGTCAGATTCCCAAGGCTGCTTGCGACTGGACCACATCAATCTGGACCTCAGCAACCTCAATTTGGAACAGAAGTGGGATGATGCCCTTCAGGGTTCAGTTGAAGAGTTTTCTTGGTCGAAGTCAAACTTGGACATGGCCGGTTGCAAGCATCATGTGTGCCACGAGACCCATGGCTGCTGCCACAAGTGCCCTCATGTCCAACTGGCTGGCAAGTATGTCCAGGCTATGAATCGGGCTTTGTCGGAAGGATTCTTGGCTGGCTCTGTGTAATTTGCATTTTTAAGATGGTCATCCAGGCATCCAGAGTTGTTTTGAGCCTGCCTGGGAGGCTGTTCCACGTTTGAATGCGCCGGCATGTCAAACAGCTTGGCTGATCCTTACTGCATGTGCCCACGAAAACTGACCGGGTTGATTGATGTTTGTTAGTTCTGTTTTGTCATGGCATTTTGCAATTTTTGAACTAGCGGTAACGGAAAATCAAAATTGCATACCGATGATTACTGCGGTATCATCATGCTACCATCATTTTTACCGGTATTGTTGGATGCTGATGCTTTTTAGACGTAGGATTGTAGGATGTAGGATGTAGGATGCCCTGCATTTGCATCTGCCACAAGTACAAGTGAAAAGCTGACATTAATGACCTAATGAGACCTGATGAGGAACCAAAAGGCCACAGCTGATTCCAATACGGATTTCAACATCAGTTTCTGCACGCAGCAGATCAAGATCTGAAATTTGTATTTTGGTCAGAAGTTGCACGATCATGACAGTTTCATTGTTGATTGATTTGACCCACTCATAAACTTAAGCTGACCCCGAACCATTGATAAGCTTTCAACTGGGTTCCCGTTCAAACTTGCTGCAGAATACTTCGCAGCCCGCCGCTGCTAAGGAAAGATGAGACAAGGATCACTGCTTGCATTTGCCTTGCGTCACCGGACTCGGTACGTGTTCATCGGGCCGGTCATCAAGAAGCCACAGGTGCAAATCTTTTTGGAGGGCATTCCCTCCTCCAATGGTGATCACGTGTCTATTTGTGACTCTGGAAAGCAGATGCCTCTTGGCTGGTGGCAGGATTGGGCAAGCATGTTGGACACAGTAAATGTTCAGATCATGTTAGTTCAGATCATATTTCTATTCCGCACAGTCTGCAAAACGTTTATATACATGTTACATGTTACATGTAGATTGGACTTGTTTATATTTATATATATATATATATATTAGTTGAACCTGCATATACCTAGACAGCGGACAATATCATGCACATTCAATCACATATCACATATCTCATATCAAATCACATATCAAATACACATATATTCATACATGGGCAGGTACTATATGATATCGGTACGTGAGGTGAACATGGATTTTTTATTTCCAGTTTGTACCGGTATTTTTTTCGTGCAGTACATGTGCATCATACAGTCTGAACTCGCCAGGACTGAGCTCTGATGTGCAGGTGCAGTGTGATAGATAATGGGATTGGATGGAATACCATGTTTTCTCCATGGCTTGTGCAGTCTCTACAGTGTGGATACCCAACACTAGACCCAAGATTCGGCTATTTGGATGATGTATGGTTATGTCGTTCGTAGACTATAGTGCCTTGCAGAAGGTGAAGATTGTTGGAATAAAACCAAAATAAAAGAAACACATGCTGATGACTGCCCTGATCACGAAAGGTAGTCTCCAAGCGCAAGCGGGCTACCTTGAGTTTTACTTTGCGAAGCAAAGGGGCGGGCTGGACCCCTTATCCCTGAACGACCAGGAGAAAGGGACCCCCCCCTCCCCCTATCATCTTTCTATCATCTTTCTATCATCTTTCTATCATCTTTCTATCATCTTTCTATCATCTTTCTATCATCTTTCTATCATCTTTCTATCATCTTTCTATCATATCATCATCATCATCATCATCATCATCCTCATCATCATCATCATCATCCTCATCCTCCTCCTCCTCCTCCTCATCATCATCATCATCACCATCGTCATCATCATCATCATCATCAACAACATCATCATCATCATCATCATCATCGCCATCGCCATCCTTCGCATCCTCCTCGTCCTCCATATCCTTGCCATCATCATCATCATCATCACCATCATCATCATCATCATCATCATCATCATCATCATCATATCATCCTCCTCCTCATCATCCTCATGTTCCGCACTTGTTCCTTCCTGTCGCTCTACGCCATCATCCTCATCATCATCATTCTCACGAAAGGTCGCTCCGGTTTACGGGATATACATCGTGACGAACCCATCATATGTAGCCAATTTCAGACCAAAGAGATGTGGCGAATTGTGGCAATTGCGGGTCTTGGAGAGCTATCCCATGGCTCCTGCTGCTGCAGCTGTGTCTTACGTGGGAAAAAAAGGTCACCCGCGTCCCCCTGCGACGCACCTACCTTTCGTGTCACCCCTTCTCAAGTTTTGTTTCTGTCCAGTGATGATTGCCACAATGACATTTGTATATGATATGGGCATGTTTCTTATATATCGCAGAGTGGGTAAGTATGCAGCAACTCTGCGTCAGAATAGCAGAAAGCAACTGCAGAGAAACTGCAGAAGCGGGCCCGATTTTTCACTACGTTTCACTCAATTTTGATGATTTTTTCATGACTCTTATACGTTCGGTTCATAGGCGCTGGGTTTTGCAGGTGAGATGAGATCGAAGAAATAGTTGATGTTTGATGTTCGTGGATGGCCCTTAAGAATTCCTTAAGATTGTTACAGCAAATCCATGTCAGAGTCAGAAATGATGTACCACAATGTATCAGTAGCAAGTCTTGAGGCCACAAATTTGAGGGTGCCTGTGAGCTAGCTAAGGTTGTGGTGCACAAGCCACCAGTTTTTCCAGGAAATCTTTGAGCAGTATGGTGCTTTGAGTTCTTTGACGCTGAAAGTATACGAGTACGTTGTTTGTGCTCACCAGTCACTTTTCTCCGTAGAAATTGCAAAAGGCTCTGCAAACCTATGTCTCGATGCAAACCCTGCGAGAGGTGGCCAGAAGAAGCGGTCTGACAATCTGCCTTTTGGAATGAAAGTTCCCAAGAGAAAGAGGGCCAGAAGAACATGCCCACCCACAAATGCTACGCAGAAGGAAAAGAAGCTGGACGTGTGCCCGGAAACTCAGGATGCAGTGCGTGATGCATTCCCTGGTTTTCAAGATGAAGATTCCGGCGGATCTGATTCGGAGGTTCAATCCCCCACATCATCTTCACCTTCTTCTGCATCTTCCAGCACTTCCGAGAGTTCAGACACAGAGGGAGAGCCCTTGTCAATTGACCCACAGCACCGGCAAGAGGAAGACACTACAAGGCAAATTCTGCGTAGTCATGCTGACCTCAAGCCAGATGATTCAGCCGCTGCATCTTCACTTGCCACTGTGGCTGCGCCAGTGAACCCTGGAAAGACAAAGTGTCAATCTTCTGTCGGACTCTGCGATGTGGGGCAGCAGATAGCTCCTCGACTGGCGCAGTGTCGACACTGTGGCAGCAAGATTTCCAGGTACTCTATGAGACTGGCGTACTCTTTTTCAACGTCCAAATTCTTTGCTTGGATTCACCCCAGTTGTTTTGTAGCTTATCTTCAGTCTGTGAATGGAAGCAGAGCCCAGGCAGTTTCATGTTTGAATGACTGGGTAGAAGCTCATCCCGACTGCACTCCCGAAATACGTGCTGAGCTGCAAGAGCTGGTGTCAAGACTCTTGGCAGCTCCTGACTGAGAGTCGGCTGCCATGGAAAAGAACACTGATTCAACTCCGGCTTGACATCATCCCGCTGCATTCACTCCAGTCAAGTAGAGTTGGTATCGAACAAGGACCGTGGTAGAACTTTGGCTGTAAGAGTTCACATTAGTTCTATGACTTCAGTTGGTAGTCCATCATGTTTCATCAGACCAGGTAACTAGCATCATGTGTCATTTGACTTACGGCTAACTTATGACGCATGTACTCATGCACAAGTCTTTCCAACTGAATGGATCTGACTGACTGCAATGTAGCTTTCACTGGTCCCATGTATTGCTTGGGGTTTAGGGGGTGAAGCCTTTGGTGTTGTCCAATAATTACGACTCGACTCTATGACTCTATGACACTATGAGTTTTGACAGCTGGGCACATTCATTAGAATTACAATAAAATAATAGTAGATAGATATCCATACTCATGGCGATACTACTTGGTATTTCACATTGTATACTCACATGCATACATGCATACATGCTGCATACATAGGTTTACAATACCGCATTCGACTCGCTCCCTGGTCTTTATTTATAGCGCAGGGATTGCATGTATTTGGCGCATTAGGGTTCTTCCTTTGGTATGAGCCGGTATTCAAGTCACATAGCGCTTGGCGGACTTAACTTTTGACATTTGCAGTCCAGGGTGACCATGTGGAGTGTTGGATGGATAACCCATATAGTTCAGTGAGCGGACTTTGAACTTACAGTCAAACCATTCTTTGATTTCTTTGGGTCTTTGAACTTCGAAGTTTCCAGTTTTATGGCCCAGCTGTTCCTTGGGACTCTCTTCCATTTGTGTGTCTAATGATGTCTAATGTCTTCACTGTTTGGTTGGTCTATTGGTGCCAGAAGACGATCCTTAGTCAACTCGCATGGCTAGAAGAACAGGGCTCCATGGACCGCATTTCGGGAGGCACCAGTGGACTTCTTCCTCTATGGCCAAGACGAAGGTAGGATCTATGGGCTGGCTGTAGAGAGCTTTAGATGCATTCAGCTTGTCACACATGACATGACCCTGGTCTGGGCCTATAGCCCCCCCTTCTCATTGAAGCCAGTCACACTTTCGTTTTTTTGTCATCAAAATCAAAGATGCATTGGCAGTTTCGCCCAACTCAGGAGCGCAGGGAACTATGTGCCATATCACATCGAAATTCTGCGATTGAAGCATCTAGTCAGGGGCGCTCTGTTTTGATTGGCAATAGTTCGGCAGCTGTGTGACATTTGATGATGTTCATGATGGGGATACAGAAGGCTATGATAATGCCGATGTTGATGATGTTGGTCATGATGATGATGACGATGATCATGATGAGGATGATGACGCTGTTGATGATGTTAAATGACAAATGATAAACAAAAATCGGAGTAGCGATCAAGCGAAATAAGATACTATATAATTATATGTATATATAAATGAGAACATATCATATGTAATACCAGTAGTACCGCACAAGGCGGTGGCGGAAGTTTCAAAAATAGGAAACCTATAGGAGAGATTGGTTGTTGTGAATCAGAGATGGCAGAGCGAAGCCACTGCTGGACTGAAAGGCGATTGATCTCTCTCACTCTTGTCTACCTGTCTATCTGTCTATCTATCTATCTATCTATCTGTCTAGCTGTCTACCTGTCTATCTTTGGTGCAGTGTCATTCAGTGTAAGGTAGTGTAGTGTAATGTAGTGTAATGTAGTGGAGTGTAGTGGAGTGTAGTTGTAGTTGTAGGGTAGTGTAGTGGAGTGTAGTGTAGAGTAGTGTCGTGAAGTGTAGTGGAAGGTAGTGTAGTGTAATGTAGTGTAGTGTAGTGGGGTCTAGTGTAGTGTAATGTAGTGTAGTGTAAGGTAGTGTAGTGTAGTGGAGTGTAGTTGTGTAGTTTTAGTTGTAGTGTTGTGGAGTGTAGTGTAGTGTAAGGTAGTGTAGTGTAGTGTACTGTAGTGTAGTGGAGTGTAGTGGAGTGTAGTTGTGTAGGTGTAGTTGTATTTGTAGTGTAGTGGAGTGTAGTGTCGTGTAATGTAGTGAAGTGTAGTGTAGAGAGTGTAGTGCAGTGTAATTTAGTGTAGTGGAGTGTAGTGGACTGTAGTTGTGTAGTTGTAGTTGTAACCTGTAGTGTTGTGAAGTGTAGTGTAATGTAATGTAGTGTAATGTAGTGTAGTGCAGCAAAGTGTAGTGTAATGTAGTGTAGTCGAGTCTGAAGCCATCCAAAAGTGGTCCGAACATGGTGTGTTTTGTACATTTTGACTTCGAAATGTGCTTCGCGCCACAATGCACTTTTTCGAAAGTCGACATCTGAGCCTCCAAAAGTGGTCCGAGAATGGTGTGTTTTGTACATTTTGACTTGGAAATGTGCTTCGCGCCACAACGGCGTGCACTTTTTCGACATCGCAACTTCAAAAAGTGGTCCGAAGCTGGTGTGCTTTGTACATTTTGACTTGGAAATGTGCTTTGCGCCACAACGGCGTGCACTTTTTCGACATCGCAACTTCAAAAAGTGGTCCGAACGTGGTGTGTTTTGTACATTTTGACTTGGAAATGTGCTTCGCGCCACAACGGCGTGCACTTTTTCGACATCGCAACTTCAAAAAGTGGTCCGACCATAGTGTGTGTTTTGTACATTTTGACTTGGAAATGTGCTTCGCGCCACAATGCACTTTTTCGACATCGCAACTTCCAAAAGTGGTCCGAACCTGATGTGTTTTGTACATTTTGACTTGGAAATGTGCTTCGCGCCACAACGGCGTGCACTTTTTCATCTCTCATCTCCCCAGATGCCTCCGCACCCGCCGCTTTAGCGAGCCTACTTTTCGACCCTCCGGAGCCACAAATCATTGGAAAAACACAGTGAATTGCGACTTTCCTACCTTTTCGCGCATCTGCATCTTCTTTCTTCTGATCTTTTCTCTTCTGACTCTTCTGACCTCTGCTTTTCAACTGTCCATATTGTCGGAAGTTTCACTTCTAAACTTCCTTCGATTATATATATATATATATATATGATATATGTATATATATGTATATGTATATGTAAAAAATATGTATAAAAAGCTTTTTGGTTGCATGTATATGGAAATGATTTGTTAGGTATATCTGCATATTTTTCGACGTCATGATTTTTATGATCAATGAATGGTATATTTGCACTTTCATACATAGTAGCATGATAGCCAATCATGAGGCGTGAAGAACATACAAGACATATCGTTTTTGAGAACAAAACGAGCTGAGTGGAAAGGATAAGGATGGGTTGGCGTGCAGCATAGCAGAGGTTTCCACAGACTGAGAAACAAGATCAAACAGGTACAGGTACAGGGGTATAGACTACACATGATGATAAGAGATGATAGGTAAGTTCATGGAAGTTCTCATACCGAGCCCAATGAACGATATGGTATAGCATGACATGAGCATAGTGTAACAGCAAATAGAGCCAGTACAGCAGATATATATATATATATATATAACCTTTAACGGAAGGTGGTGAAGACAAACAAAACTGTTTTAACGTGACATGTATTTTTTTTGGGATGTGCTCCTTTGGTTGGTGATGTTTCTTTGTAGCATTACTGTCGCATGTTGCCTCTCAGGAGTGCTCACTTCGGCAGTCCAAATTACAGGCAGAGGGCCTACATCTTGGCTGCGAGGGTGGACACGTGCACCAAGTCCCACTTTGCGATGATATGCAACTGGATCTTGACACATTGTCCAAGTGCACATGAGCGATCTACACTCACTGATTGTTTCTCGGATTTTGGAGTCCGTCTTGGTGAAAAATCACGCGACCACAGACATGGTTTATGTGCTATTCGTTATTTCATATTTATATTATATAATTATATATTTATATTTATGTTTTTTATGTTGATTTGTTTGTTTGTTTCTCATTGCCCACGTACTCCGTCATGATGTGAGTCAACTCATATGATTCATATGATCCATGCTCAACAACAGATAGAGACAGAGTCAGACATAGGTTAGTGTAGTTGTGAGTCTAGTTCACATGCGCCAGCCCATTTTTTGGGGGAAACACCATAGTTGGTTGTCATTGCATGATATTGCATGCTTATTCATGTCCGAGCTTTTGTTGTTGGACACTGGTTGGTTGTCACTTCAACCCAGATATCCAGAAGAAGCCAAGAAGTGCCAGAATCACTGAATCACGTGGCCCTTTCCTGTGTCAATCACCTTAGGTTGGAACTACTGCTTGGATCTTGGTCATGGCCTGACTTATCCTCCATACTCAAAGGACTCTCTGGGGTGGAGGGTTTGGGGTGAAGGGTCGGGGTGAAGGGTCGGGTTGGACGGTTGGTGGAGCATGGATATACGCACACAAGAAAGTGCATTGAGAACGGTTCTGAACGGTTCTGAGTCGCTGAGTTCTGAAGGTTTACTGGACGACTCACTTTTCCATTCCCGCCTTCACATGCCGTCCACCTGATCCCAGGACAGTGGCTGGAAGAACAAGGAGACGAAACGGCAAGAGAGGCAGATGTTGAGGGAACTTGGCGTGTTGGGCGGAGGCTGGGGGGCCTTCTGCTCCAACTTGGCCCGCAATGAGCGGGAGAAGCTGAATTGGAGGGAGCGGACCAAGTTGGATGTGGAGTGTGCAAGACTGTTTGGGAAGGAGGAGCCAGTCACGGTTGCCGCGGGACTTGGGAATGTGAAATGATTATCGGATGCATTTTGAGAGCAAGTAAGCTTCTGAGATCTTGTCATGGGCCAACTTGACAATTTCATGCAGTATACAGTATACAGTAGACCTAAGACTCAAGATGTGTTCCAAAGTAAGCTGATGGTTTTGAAGTGAGAGGAGGAATGCAGAAACCGACATTAACATTTTGGGGGGCAACTTCTTTGGACCTGACTGACTGCAAACTATATACCTAGTACTTAGTAACCAATGGTTCACATATCAGGAGTTCAATGATAAGTCCTTTTACGGTTTGTATCGTTCACATGGTTGGGTGAAACTGATGACATGAACTGATTTGATATGACTCTGTGATGCTATCATTCAGTCATCTTACTTAACTTATACGACGACTTATATATAACTTATATATTATATTATATATTGAATAACAATATAATATAATATAACTTATATTTTATATTATATATGTGTGTATGGGTTGCTTTTAACAACTAAAACTTAAAGTGATATATAGATGCATCCAGAACCGTTCTAAACCGTTCTGAGGGATTTGCGCTTCAAAATTTCCATAGTTCCGGAACCGTTCTAAATAGTTCTAAATAGTTCTGCGGGCTTGAGGTATTGCGGAACCGTTCTAAACCGTTCTGCGGGGTATGCTCTGCATACCGGCAGAACCGTTCAGAACCGTTCTGGGGATAGGCAAAAGTATATGTTTATGAAGTTATATTTTTATACATTTTTGAAATATTTCATCATATGATATAAACATTTCATATACATCATTTGATGCATCTAACTCAAATGACTCACACTCATGCAGCTATAACATTTACAGTTCACATACTTGTTGCGCCAATCATTCATCATACCGAATCAAATCATATCATGGATCGGTGTTTTTCTGCATTTTCTTTTCATACTTTTACACACCATTGTCATTTCTTTTTGATGTACAGATATTTGATATTTGTGCACCATGCATGCAGCATACAGTATTCAGTTTGAGTATACAGTATACAATAGAGCATGCAGTAATTATATTTTTTTATTTTTAGAGTATGATAGAATTAGATACCTATGCATGCTTTCCTTTGCATTTACATGCACAGGTTAACATTTTATAACACACTTCCTTGATTTGATGTTAGTCACCCTGGTCGTGGTATATATTTTGTGCGTTTCTTAAATGTTTGTTTTGATATTACGGTACTTACATACCTTGGTTCTTCACATACTAGTCTTGTATGTGTATTTTAGATACGTGTTTCACGGCCATATTGGTGTGCTTGCAGTACAAGCATGCAACATGTACATATGTATATATATATATATAGCCACAGTGTCTGAAGCACCGTCCCTTTCTGTGCTTGATTTCTCACAGTTTATGGTTTATGGTATGAATATATATTTTTTTAATAGTATGCATTGATAGCTTATGTTTTTTTCGTGACTGATATTTAATTCAGTTTGTCGTCTTTTAGTTTGCATGTATTTTTTTGGTTGGCTTTTGTTGGTCATGCCACCATGCCCATCAAACTGATCCATGAGACTGTAACGCTGGGTCTCCTCCTCACCGGCGCAGGAGGACGTGCATGCGCAGGTGATCGATCTCTACATTGATGTTGCCAGCCCTTTGACTGAACGGATGCTACCCCATGTGGCCAAATCCATATCAATCCATGTTTCGACGCCTTGACCTTCAGAAAGTCGAGCCTAGGATCAAGTTCGAAGGGGATGGGCGTCTACCAGCATGGTCTTGGAGCGGCTTTCACAACACAGATGAAGGTCTATCACCTGGGTCGACGGGCCTTTGTACCGGCAGAGGCCATTCTCCGTGCGCGGCTGGGGTGTTGTATTGGCATCAGTCATGAGTCATGAGTTGTTGTAAAGAGTAGCTAGAGCAGAGGTCAAGGAATAGAGCATTTAGGAGCATGGCAGAGCCTTATCTTTCAAATTTTCAGGATCCATAATACAGTTACTGCTGGCTTCTTAATTTCACAGTCAGACAATCAGGTATGTGCAGGTTTAGGACAACAATGAAGGACTGGAAGACATTTGACGAAACGGGATATGACTGACTTAGATGTTGACAAGATATTGAAGCCTTGTTTCTCTTAGACATTGACTCATTGACTCATATGGTTGAAACAATGCAATTTCCCCACACACACACACGGGGCGTCTACGCTTCTTCTTTAATAAAAGCATTAACTGCATGAGACCTTTGGGCATTCCAGACATTCATAATTCATACAGTTTAGTCATTCTACTTGCACCTTCCCATTCCCATTCTGGTTATATATGGTCTTTGAGTTAGGTTGCCATCACAGTCCTGCCCACCTGACCTATCAGATTGTCCGTTGTTCAGTATTGAAGCAAAGATATCACTCCGAGCTTCTGATATTGTGCTGTAAGTCAATTTGGACCATGTGGGTTTGACTTTGGCGTCAATATATTTGTGGGGTTGTTTAAGTTGACTCATGCTAAAGAGTTCCGTCTTGACCACCTCCTCCTGATCTTTATCCCCGTGCTTTCCGCAGGCCCTTCTTGCTGGACAAGGCTTGGACCCACATGACTTTCTCTTTACGGAAAGGGACTACCGGGCATACAACAAGATGGCCGGGAATTGCTGCACTACGAGTGTCCTGGGGGCAGCAGTGACGGCTATCCTTCTCGGTGTGCTGTACAAGCGGGAAGATGGACAGAGACACGGCTGAAACATGCATCAAGCCCGCTCATTAAATTGTGTTTTGATAGTATTGATGGTATTGATAGTGATCGTAGTAACAGTCATTGAATGTCATTGAAAGAGATTGACATTTGAACAAAAAACTATTGAGTTTCACAGTTTGGTGTTTTTGTTTGTGCATTGGTTTGTTGCATGGGGTGACTTTCTTGGCAGTCAATCATGCGAGGCACTTCCTTTCAGCTGCATCAATGCCCCCTGCTCCACATGGCATCCCAGAGCCCGATGCAACTCAGTTGAATGTTTCCAGAGTCACATGGGACATCCACTCCAGTGTTGCGTCGGTTTCTCTCAATAATACATGA